ACTTGGTGTAGAAGATGACTTACATTAGAGCCTTCTCTCCTTCCTGCTTCAGACGTAACAGGCTTTACTACATTGTGTCTCTGTTTTACAATTGAAGAAATTTTTGTAATTTACATATTGATTCAACGTTTGACCCACTATGCCTTTTCTTACTGATTTTGATTTCAATCTATTTCATTTGGTGTAGGTATGGCTATTCCTGCTTTCTTTGGACCTCACTGTATGGAATATCCTATTGTGTTTCTCAGTTTTAATCTATGCAAAACTTTAGAGGTAAAGTGAGCTGATTGCAAACATGATCTTGAAAGAAACATTTTGAAACTATAGAGACACCATTTTTCAAATTCAATTTTTAAATTATTTTAGCTATATGTGTATATGGGCATACATGTACACATATATGTGTGTGTACGCACGTGCACGTGTGCGTGTGTGTCTGCGTGTATGTGTATGTGCGTCCTCCTGGGGCTGGAGATGCAGGTAGTAAGCTGCATGACATAGATCCTGAGAACCAAACCAAGTTTTAAACAAGGTTTTATTTAATGCAAAAGTCTTTGGATGAACTTCTAATTCAATATCATAAACATGGAACTTTTCCTTTTAGGACTGTGTCTCTCACTTGTTTGTAAACTGGTCAAACAGCCCACTAAAAGAATCTTCCTTTTCCCTCTGTGAGTTAGTCAAAGCATCAGTCTGGTTCCTCATTATTGTTTCCACCAGCTCACTGTCCGGAGAATCTGCCCAGCCTCACCAGTATTATAGAACCCCAATTCCTCTCACTTCCAGGGTTCTTGCCCTTGTGTAATCTATCTTTCACAAACAACAAACTATTTCAGCTTTAAGTGTAAATTATTTCATGTGCCTATTTGCATATTCGCCATCAGCGCCATATATCCTCGGTCTTTGGTGTCCTATGATTTCCGACTACCATACACCAGCTGACTCTCTCTTCTGGTCTCACGATTTCTCTTGATGCCCTAACTTTCTCTCTTCTCTTTCGACACATTTTCCTGGCCATGGGAGTTTTCAGTTACACAGTCGCTGCCTCCTTTTAGTGATGGGAATCTGTCATTGCTATCCCCCAAGGGTCCTGACGGGATTTCCCATAGTGTTGTCCAAATTATCAATTTCTTTTCATGCCTTCAAGATGAAAGTCTTCCTCATCAATATACGCATACTTTTCATAGCCAAGCAGATAAGATCATGAGAGCAGACTAAGCTTGATCAGTCTTAGTCAACACAGCCCTCTGAAGGTCCAGAGCAACACCATTGACACCATAGTTTTTTTGGAACCCTTTAGTTAATAGTGCGTTATGAGCTTCAAGTTTTTGAAGTTTTCCATCTTACTAACTTACCAGGGAACAATTTTCATGACAGAATACCAAGATATGAATCAGAGTTCAGCAGAAATGGTTTTATAATAGAACAAATTGTTGAGATCTATTCAAATTTCTCAGGTTGCAATGACTCTGCAAGATTCATCCTATCCATGTGACAAGCTCACAGAATTCATTGAGCTGATTCTAGGGAAGAACAGACATTGCCTGCCTGCTGCTTCTACCAGAGCAGGTCAAGTACAAAACCAGCATGGGTGTCAAAAGGGAATCAATCTCTTTACCATTTGCCTTCCCAGTACAGATAGCAGAGTTACCCATTTATCTTCTCCAGTACCAAGAAGAATGTTGTTTTTAGATCATTAGAGACCTGTATCTTAATAAATGACATTTACTTTTGAATATTCCAGCAGTTACCCCTGAAGGATAATGTACATTTTCTGTTTGGGATGCTTAAAAGTCCAAAAGAGAATTTAATTTCTGCTTCCCAGACATTTGTGATCCATTGTTTCCCATTCAATGAAATGAGACTGCTAGATCCTAAAATGCTTAGGAGAAGAGGTCCTTAGGATACAGCAATTAATACTTTAATATATCAGGACATTCTATGAAACCAAAATCAAACAACTATCATTATAGTATGGTGAGACCTCCCTCTGGCACTAAAGAAATGCATGAACATCTGTGGCATATGTGAATCATTACTCACTCCTCACTTTTCTGCTTGTGTAGCAATGGAACCAACACACTAAAAGGATACACACTGGGATTTTGTACTGGACTTTTATTAAATTTTCTTTCTTTCTTTTAATATGCAGTAAGTTACTTTATCAAGTCAATTATAGTGCAACTAATATTCAATAAAATGACCTTCTAATTAATAGTACAAAATAGAACAAATAAAAGTCCAGGTGATTGATATATCTTTGATTTTATTTATTTTTTTTGTTGTTGTGGCTGATTAGGTAAACTAAACTAGTCAGATCTCAAATATGTTGTGTCTTATGAATTTTTTGACAGTGTTTAACCTCAAAATGTCCCTCATTTCTAATATTAATTCATCCTCATTAAAAACAAGATTTGGAATGAAAACTACATTCAGCCTGAATGTCAAAAACAGAGGATACATTGATAATTCATAATGTCCTATTGAATTACTAGAACTTTTGTTTTGTCTGGCAAGTGTACTACATGGCCAGATAAGATTATATCAGGTACTTTTAATAAAACAAGACACTAAAATTACACAAATGGAATGATCAAATTGGCATTTTGTGGTTTCTAATCTCACACAAGGTTTATTAAGTACAGCCAGATATCTGTTCGACAGCCCTATTTAATAGCTACATATGAGGCTTGAAATTACCTACTCATTCTGTCAGACTCTGGTTTGCCTGGAAGAATTTTCACAGCAATATTAGCTTCTAGTAGAACTTAGGATTGATGGTAAATTCCTTTTCAGTCATAATCAAACTCATTTAGAAGCATGCAGTACACTGAAAAAAGTAGACCCCCCATCTATGAGTGCATTTATAGTATTCATATGCTAATTTGTACATTTTCATCGATTTTGGGTTTAATCCTCCGCTATGTTTTCTGGCATTTGTCAGTTCTGTCTCCTTCTGTAAATGAGTCAAATCACACTGCCCTAGCAATTAGCCTTTCTATGAAGAAGGTCCTGTGAAAACCTACATATCTCATAAACCATGTAAAGAACATGCTTGCTTTTCACCTTTGACTTGTTTACATGTATCATGTAATCATTTTTGAGACAACTGGGCTTGGCACATATACTTTTCATTTCTCTCATCATCACCAATCTCAGAACCATTTGAGTGGATGACAAGTGAATGAAACTTTAAAGATGGGTCAAATGCAGTCATCTGAATCCCAACCATCAGACGCAAGGTCTCTTTAACTTACCATATATTTTCTCTGCTTTGTTTCCAGATTCTTCCCTTCATTTCTCTGAGCATCAACTCTTGATCTTTCTAACTCCTGATCAACTCCTGATCTTTCTAACTCTCTGTCATCTAGGCCTGACCCTCCCCTGTATCTTTTTAATTTGTTTTCCAAATATTTCATTATCTCTGACCGGCATCTTCTCCATTTAAACACTTTAAAGCTTTCTTAGTTACCTGAGAAGAGTGGCCCAAATCTTAACCCAGTATCAGGGTCCAGCCTTGATGGGTTCATATGCCCCAGAGTAGGGGTGTGTGGATTAGAAATGTTAGGGAAAAAAACAAAGATACAAAAGAAAAAAGACACACAGAGAAGAGTCAGGACGGCAATTCAGTGAATACTGAACCTTCTCACGTTAATTTTTCATAAGATTTATATACCACAATCCAAAGAGGAGAGGGAAGACAAAAGGCCTTTTTACCAAAATTCAGGGAACCAACTTTGTGATCATCTTTTCAAATACCCAAAGCATCAAGTAGCCACACCCAAAGTAAAAACCTCTTGTCAATCACCTTGAAGCAGCAAGAATAAGCTTGAACTGTCTGACCTTTAGTCAAGGTGGAACGAATCTACATCTCTGGTCTCTCACAATCCAGCTGCAAAACTTGACTGCTTCCTTTGACCAACTTCTTCTGCCTCTCTCCACTTAAATCTCTGGATTTCCTTCACTGTACCTTGTGTCTTGTTCGAGAAAATACCCACCTTTATCTGTTAAGGAATTTTGCACGTCCTTTTGCGGACAATACTTGTCCTATTCATTTTCTCGTTATCCTCACTGACTATTTGGAACATCAATTTGCCAAGGAAAGTGTACCAGTACCCCAGGACCTATATCTCACAGTCTTTGGAAATTATCCTGTGCAACACACTGCAAACTTTTTATTAATTTTGCTTGTCATTCATTGTTTAGTTTTAGGAGCTGCTTTTCCAAAATACGAGGCGTGTGGCATATTGGCCAGTTTATCCCCTCAGTTACATTATCCTGCACCTATATTCTGAAATCTATCGCAAGGTTTTAAATTTTCAATGAATAAATGTCATAGAAATGAAGATGCTAGCTTCCAGTCTTCTTGCTATGACACATACCTGATAAAATCAAAATGAGGAGAGTAAGGTTTACATTCTCAAAGGGTACAAACATCAGGCCAGGGAAGGGGTGGTGACCAGAACAGGAGTTACTTCATTTCATTGTATCCAGTCAGGAAACATAACAATGAACACACTGCTCAGCTCTGCTTCTCCTTTTTAATCAGTCCAGAATCCCAGACAATAGCTTGGTGCTAATCACATAAAGTGTAGGTCTTCTCAACTTAACCAAATCTAGGCAATCCCTGTTCATGTTGAGTCATGTTCATATATTTGTTACCACGACGATTCAAAATCACATTAAGTTGATAACAGCGATTAACCATCATAATGAAAATGTATAAAATGAAGTAGAAACAAAAAAGGGAATAATAATGTCTTGAGAAGTCTCATGACAAAAAAAGGGGGTAATAATGTCTTAAGGAGTCTCATGACAAAAAGGAGGTTAATAATGTCTTGGGTAGTAGTGATAGGATCTCACGCAGCGTGTTCTTACTTACAAACATTCAGAAGCCTTGGTTGTGATTGATTCATCTTTCAGGTTAGTGTTGCCTTGTGCTCCCTGCATAGCTTTCCCCACTGGAGCATTTTACGCTGTCTCTCTTTCTGCTTTCGTAGTTGACGGACAGTGGCAGGAATGGAGTTCATGGAGCCACTGTTCCGTGACATGTTCCAATGGAACCCAGCAGAGGAGCCGGCAATGCACGGCGGCTGCTCACGGAGGCTCTGAGTGCAGAGGACCGTGGGCGGAAAGCAGAGAGTGCTACAACCCCGAATGCACAGGTAAGGCCAATTGCTTTGTGCAAATGATACCTCCAAGTCATAAAACCTCAAAGCACCATGCCAGCAGGCATAAAATGAAAGCTAATTATATATTCATATGTACAAAATCATTATATTCATTTATTCTACTGTATATTGCAATCATAAAGTCAGAAAACTTTGAAGATTCGTAAATCGAATAATAGCAGAGTTAATAAAGTTTAGCACTAGGCTTCGAGTTCTAAAAGTAGGTTCCGTGTGCATCTGAAGTGTCAGGCACACTTACGTAATTCTTCACACCACAAAGTGCACAGTGTTTGACCAGTGAGTCCACTATTTGGACAAAGCTTATTCTTGACAGTAGATGAATAAAAATGGAAAGACTCTTAACACCCCCAGATTATCACATTTACTAAACCAGCGCCTGCCGCGACTGCTGTTAAGCAAGACCCATTTCTTTCAGCCAATGGTCAGTGGAATCAGTGGGGTCACTGGAGTGGATGTTCCAAGTCCTGTGATGGAGGCTGGGAGAGGAGAATGAGGACGTGTCAGGGTGCAGCTTTAACAGGACAGCAGTGTGAAGGAACAGGGGAGGAAGTGAGACGGTGCAGCGAGCAGCGGTGCCCAGGTAAGAAGGACCTAGTGTGTGTGTGTGTGTGAGTGTGTGTGTGTGTGTGTGTGTGAGTGTGTGTGTGTGTGAGTGTGTGTGTGTCTGTGTGTGTGTGTGAGTGTGTGTGTATGTGTGTGTGTCTGTGTGTGCACGCAGTTAGGAATGGCACTTCTTTGATCTAAAGACTGATACTAATACCTGGCAATACACTTGTTTTAAAAGTACTATATGACAACTTATCTTTATATGTTAGAATAATCCTATTAGTTTTAATTTATTTATTGTAAAGTGACACTGAAATACAATGATAGTCAAAAAATAACCACGAAGAAGAATAATTGGTTTGAGTATGATTTATATCATTACAATATTTTTCTGCTATTTAGTGAAATTTGCTTATTGAGCATACAAAATATTCTTAAGCCTTATTACTTTTCTTAAGTATTAAACGAATGAAATGAAAAGCTATTGTTGAAATTCATATACTTTTATTTTTATGACTGATTAATGTCTCCTTGATGACCTTAGAAATCTGTATTTACCCATTCTTGTCCAATCATAAAAAATATAACTATGGATAAAATATAAAATGTAATGGCTAATGAAAGTGGTTTGCATGTAAGCACAAACAATAACACAGGTCAGACACTGTCCAGACTTTATTCATTTCCTGCAAAGTCTCTTTTAGAAAACTAGATTCTTTCCTTAAAAGAATTGTGACACACTGAAACATAGATATGTCAAAATCGTGGTTTTAGGATGATACCATTGGTCAAATATACAAGACAGTGATAAGTTGATCTTATAATTGTACAGCGAAATGAACTCAGAGAATGTGAATGTCTGTTGTGTTTATCCTATGGGTGTATTGGTTTGGGATGATTGGCATTTGAAGGGATGTAGAATCACATTGGAGACAAATCTCTGGGCTGGGCATGTCTGTGAGAAGTCATCTAAATTAGGCTAACTGAGGTGGGATGACCCACCCTGACTGCTGGACTGAATAAAATGGGAAAACAAAGCCAGGCCCAGTTCATCTCCCTCGGCTTCAGGACTGTGGTCGTGTCCATGTGGGATCAGCTGCCTCAAACTGTAGCCATACTGTGCTCCAAAATAAACTCCTTCTTAGGTTGTTTTTGTCAGAGCATGCTGCTCCAGAGACATGATTATTAGCTATGCAGAAGTTTGGAATAAAGAAGCAGAATCATTGTGATAAAACCAACCTTGCCGTTCTTAGGGTTTGGAACTGGTTAGTGGGAGAAATGAAGGGTAGTTTTGAACTGTCACCTAGAAGAACCCGCAGAAGTGTAAACCTAGCCTGAGTCTTTCCGGAGAGAATGTAGAAAGTAGAAGAAGGGGAGAAATGCACACAGTAGAAGCCTGGCCCATAGGCTACAGAGGTGAACATGGGCACCATCAAATTGGATAGTATTCTGTATGGCTATAGGGTCAGTGATCCGGCTGTATTTTATCCGTTCTCTGAGCACCTGAATGAAGTGCAATGTATTAGACAAAGTGTTTGTTGGAGGGAACTTCAGACAGAATAGCTTTCAGGCTGGGCTGGTGCTCCTGCTTACTGCTCCCATTCAAGCCTACAGGGTGAAAGCCAGAAGTAAAGGAGAGGACCCGTGGGTAAAAGTGTTTTCTATCCTTGAATTCTATGCATAAGACCCCCTGGGGAAGGAGAGCACCGGCTTCTCACAACATAGCATGCATATTAATGCACTTACATATACATATCATAGAAACTCATACGCACACACGGATGCACACAGGCACATGTACGCATACACACACACATAGCCACACAGAAGCATACACAGACATACACAAACAATAATAATAATGACGATGATGAAAATTCAACTGAGCAAGGTGATAGAGTCAGAGTCATGCACTTTGATGATGAAATGTGTATGGACAAGTTTTAAACTTCTGGTAAGGAGAAGGTAGGCAACAACAAAAGATTCTGTCACCGATGAAGAGATTAATGCCATTGGAGAGTGACCTGTCTGTGCTGGGGTAGCATAGGTGTCCTGAGTGCAAGAGCTTACCCACCAAAGGCTCCTTCCAGGGGAAAACACAGTTTCATTTGAATGGGAGAACCTAAGCTGAAATGTTACTGCAAGGATGCCTGCTTTTCGCGAGCAGCTGAATTGGGAAGTTTTCTTTGGAGTCAGCTCACAAAAGTTGATGTATATTCCAAAGGACTCGCTCTCTGGCCTGAGCTGGCAACACAAACTTGGGAGTATCACTTTGAACTGATTGAGGAAATGTGAAAGATGCAAGACCGGAGCAGTCACAGGGGCTTGCACCGTGAATCCGGAGAGCTGGTGAACCCAGGCAGTGTGTCAATCTGATTACTTGCAAAGTGGTCCTGAGAGGCCACGTCAGGAAGCCCTGAAGGTAAAGTTTATGTTTTAGTGGAGCCCTCTGGTGGTCAGAAATGACTGAACCGTGGGATACCAGCCAAGCAGCGGCATTCAAGGAGAGGGGCTAGGAACGCTACAGGCGGCAGAGCTGGAAGGACTGGGCTACTTAAGCTCCCAAGATTCCATCTGAAGCCCCAGGTAGCAGATGCGGAGTTGCAGGATTTATTGTCTGCACTTGTGTGTTTCCACACACACTTGGTGTGCCTGACCAGTCCTTATTATCCCACCACTCTCCAGTTTGTAATATGGCTACTTCTCTGTGTCAGTTTGCTTTAAAAGTATGTACTTCTGTATTTTACAGGAGTTCACAATTATGTGTTGCCTCGGGTCTCCAATGATGGCTGGACTTGGTCATTTTGAACAGTATTAGGACTCTTTAAAACTCTGAGGCCTTTGAAGTTGCGCTGAGTGTCTTCTGTATTATGAGATGGTCAGTAGCCTATGGTGACAGGGACTGAGGGTATGCATAGAAAGTGGTGTGTTTGATGAAGGGTAGCTTTGTGGTGACTTGTATCTGTCAACTTAGCATCAGCCAGAATCACCTCAGAGACAAATCTCTGGTCATGTCTGTGAGAAATTCTCTCGCGTCGATCATTTGGGTTACGAAGATGCACTCTGTCTGCCTGCTCCAATAAAAAGAGGAGAGGACGCTGAGCACAGTCGCCAGTCCCTGCGTGCTTCTTGATTGTGGATGTAATGTGACAGCTGCTTCTGAGTGCTGCTGCCACCCCTTCCCCTCTATGGTGGACTGTACGAAGCTGAGACTCCTCTGTTCCTTAAGGTACCTTTGCCTGGGCACTGTGTGACAGCAACGAGACAAACAGCGATGTAAAAGTTTCCTGTTCTTCTTATTCTGCTCACATAAACTGACCACCTCAGTTTAAAAATACAAGCGTTCTAAGAGTGACCCAATAATCAAACATCGTGTTTCTCTATAATTAAAATGCAAAAAGAATTTTTCTCTGTTTAATATTATTCATCAACTCATAAACTAGAGTCTTTTTTCTTATTATGACACTTACATTATTGCAGGAGTGCGGAGGCACATGTAGAGGTCAGGGGACAATCTGGGGGAATCAGTTCACTCCTCCTGCTTCTGGATCCTGGGAGGTCATCAGGCAAGACAGCAAGCACCTTTCACCCAGAGATCCAACTCTCGGGCCCAGAAACTGAGTTTCCCATTTTGCAATCTGTCAGCAGGTTTTCTTTTGGCATGAGATCTCAAATTAATTTTGCTAATTCTTCAGGCCATGTGAAGTCAGAACGATAAGCGACAAACAGCATACAGAACTCTGCTGTGAAGGATGCCTAGGCAGATTAACAATGAAATCCCTGCACCGCATGAGAATTAACAGGCTTTAGACAGAAACATTTGTTTTGCCAGAGGAGAAATTTCATTAGAACAGTAGAGCATGATGAAGCAAGGCGCTCTTAATACTTGAAGGTCCCTAAACCAGTTTTAGCACATGAAGCAGGTTAACTGTCCGCAACTGCATTTCATCTGCATAGGTAAGACAGAGCAGCTGCAATCAGATTTACAGAGATTGCCACCTGCTGTTTGAAAAACATTTTACAGATCGGTTTGGAGAAAGGTTGCATATTTTACTTGTTACGTTTATTAGGTTTCATGATTTAAGACAGGTCAGTAGATTACTTCATATGACTAAAGGCAATTTTATATGATGGTGTATGTTTTGGTCTTAGCATTTCATTTCTCTCTCTTCAGTAAGGTGATTGGAAACTACTGGCAATGTACTTACAGATCTATAGCTCCCTAGTGAAACCTACTTCTCGAGTCAGCTAAATGATTTTTAAGATTAGTGCTTTTACAGTGACAAAAATATTCTCATTTACAACGTTGCTGTATCATTTTTTGCTATAATTTAACCTGATACCTTGCACAATTTGCATTGTACATTAAAGCGTATATCCAACTATTAATTTAGAAACTTTGCTCTATCTATCCACTAACACCTCATATGCAGTCATTTTATCAAACAGTGGTATTTATGAGGATTTATTTTACAATTTTACACAATAGAACTGACTTATGCACTGAATTCTATGTCTTAGAATTACACTAACCCTCATCATGCTCACTATTATTTCTTTTGTGAATAGCGGTCATAATCCCAGCCAAGATATTATTTCATATCTACCCATTGACAAAACATATTGGGAAAGTGTTCATATCACCTTAACATTTAGTAAGACATTTTTCTGTTTGTCAGTTGCAAAGCTTCAACAAGTATTTCTTTTCAAACAGTATTTTTCCCAGTATTATTTTTAATATTTTCATTCCTGATCTTTTTTAAGGGGAGGGGGCAGTTCTGGGAAGAACAAGTATTTATGTTAATGTTTCACTTTGAATTTTGTTTGAATTCAAAAGCAGATTAATTAACCTCACCCAGAAACCCTCTGTTGTCAAAAAAGAGAAATATAATACATGCACATCTTTATCTAGATAACTAATGGAAACTAATCATCTAGATTTAATCAAATGCTACTATATTATCTATAAGGCATATAAGAAATGCCCATCAAGATTAGGGTTTTTCTTTATGGGTAAATAGAGTAGGACAATGT